GTATAAAATGCTTGGTACAGGGGCCGGCCCTGTGGCTTAGTGGTTAAGTGCGCGCACTCCACTACTGGCGGCCTGGGTTCGGATCCCGGGCGCACGCCAACACACCGCTTGTCTGGCCATGCTGAGGCAGCGTCCCACGTACAGCAACTGGAAGGATGTGCAACTATGACATACAGCTATCTAATGGGGCTTTGGGGAGAAAAAGGGAAAAAAAAAAAAAGGAGGAAGATTGGCAATAGATGTTAGCTCAGGGCCGGTCTTCCTCAGCAAAAAGAGCAGGATTGGCATGGATGTTAGCTCAGGGCTGATCTTCCTCAAAAAGAAAAAAACATGCTTGGTACAACGCCTAATGAGTGCTTAATAAGTACCTGCTATTTTTGTCATGATAATTATTGCTGAAAGAGGAAAAGATAATATTTATAAAACTGAATTCAAACCATAGAAAAGCATTCAAGGTTTTTTTGTTTTTTTTTTTTTTTTGGTGAGGAAGATTGGCCCGGAGCTAAGATCTATGCCCATCTTCCTCTACTTTATATGGAACGCCGCCACAGCATGGCGTGACAAGCAGTGCATTGGTGCGTACCTGGGATCCGAACCTGCAAACCCTGGGCTGCCAAAGCAGAGCACGTGCATTTAACCACTACACCACTGGGCCAGCCCCCAAGTTTTTGTTTTACGTTTAGCTAAACTTTAAGACCTCTTATGCTTGCTTGTCTTTTTATTATTGAGATATAATTCATGTACCATAAAATTTTCCATGTTAAAATATACAATTCAGTGGTTTTTAGTATATTCACAAAATTGCACAGCCATCACCATTATCTAAATCAAGAACATTTTCATTACCCCAAAAAGAAACTCTGTATCTCCCAATTCACCCCATTCTCCATCCCCTGGCAACTACTAATCTATTTTTTGTCTCTATAGATTTGCCTACTCTGGACATTCATAAAAATGGAGTCATGTAATGTGTGTTCTTTTGTGTCTGGCTTCTTTCACTTAGCATGTTTTCAAGGTTCACCCATCTTGTAGCATGTATCAGTACTTCATTTCTTTTTATTGCCAAATAATATTCCATTGTATAGGTATACCACATTTTGTTTATCCATTCATCAGTTGATGGGCATTTGAGTTGTTTCGAGTTTTTGGCTATTATGAATAATGCTGCTGTGAACATTCACATGTAAGTTTTTTGTGTGGATATATGTTTTCAGTTCTTTTGGGTATATATGTAGGAAATGAATTGCTGGGTCACATGGTAACCCTATGTTTAACTTTTTGAGAAACTGCCAAACTTTTTTCCAAAGGGATTGCACCATTTCGCATTCTCACCAGCAAGGTTTAAGGGTTCTAATTTCTTCACACCCTTGCCAATGCTTGCTATTATCTCTCTGTTCAATTATAGTCATCTTGGTATGTATGAAATGATATCTCATTGTGGTTTTGATTTGCATTTCCCTAATGGCTAATCATGTTGAGCATCTTTTTATGTGCTTATTGGCCATTTATATTTTTTCTTTGGAGAAATGTCTACTTAGATCCCTTGCCCATTTTTTAAATTGAGTGATTTGTCTTTTGATTATTGAGTTGTAAGAGTTCTTTACATATTCTAGATATAAGTGTCTTCTCAGATACATGGTCTACAAATATTTTCTTCCATTCTGTGAGTTGTGTTTTCACTTTCCTGATAGTGTCATTCAAAGCACAAAATGTTTTTAATTGATATTTAATTTGTATTAGTCCAATTTATCTATTTTTCCTTTTGTCACTTGTACTTTTGGTTTCATATCTAAGAAACCATTGCTTAATCCAAGGTTGTGAAGAATTACGTCTTTGTTCTCGTCTAAGAGTTTTATAGTTTTTACTCTTACATTTCAGTCTGTGATCCATTTTGAGTTTATTTTTGTATATATGTGAGGTAGGGAATTCTAAATTAATTCTCTTACTTGTGGATATTCAGTTGTTCCAACACCTTATTGAAAAGACTGTTTTATCTACTATTGAATTATCTTGGCCCCCGTGTCAAAATTCAGTTGACCATAAATGTGAGGTTTTATTTCTGGACTCTTGATTCTATTCCATTGGTCTATATGTCTAACCTTATGCCGTTCTAGACTGTCTTGATTACTGGAGCTTTGAGTAAGTTTTGAAATCAGGAAGTGTGAGTCTTCCAACTTTGTCCCTCGAGAACAATTAGTTTGAATGCTAGAGTATCTTTATCATATTAGAAGCAGTACAGAATGTCTTCCTCTTAGATAAGTAGGAGGGACACTGACAAACCTTTCCTGCCCCTTTTTGGATGAGAAAGTCTCTTACCCCAAGACTATTGTTGAAGTACAACTCACCAACTAGGCTTTTCTGACAGCCACTATTTGGAGATTCCAAAGTATGCTATTTGGGGGCCGGCCCCGTGGCTTAGCGGTTAAGTGCGCACGCTCCCTGCTGGCAGCCCGGGTTCGATCCCCAGGTGCGTACTGACGCACCGCTTGTCCGGCCATGCTGAGGCCGCGTCCCACATACAGCAACTAGAAGGATGTGCAGCTATGACATACAACTATCTACTGGGGCTTTGGGGGAAAAAAATAAATAAATAATTTAAAAAATTATAAAAAAAAAACAAAACAAAGTATGCTATTTGGTAATATTCACAGAGATCACATGCATTTCTTATAATAAAGGATAGTCACTGGGATTTGTGTATTTTATCTTTGAGTTTACAGCATATTTTTTTAATTCTCTGTTTTGATACAGCACAAAGGAAAAATAAGGTTTTCCTAGGCTACTAGCAAACTGGGATTCAGGAAAGCTGCCTTTGACTGATTGTTAGGCATTCCCCTCTGTGGTCTGAATTTTTCTGTCTTGGAATGAGGAGGAGTTAACCTAGTCCCACTTTATAGCATCTTGGTTTAACAGATATTTAAGGGAGGACAGACAGTATGGGGGAAAAACAATGAAGTTGTCAAGAAGACTTGGGTTCTGGCCCCAGGTTGGCTTGAAATAGCTGTGTGACCCTCTTATTCTATGTAACTCACAAGGCATGGATGCTGTAGTTGTGACATCCTTAAAGTATAGTTATATTATGGACCAGTGGTTTTAACAGTGTTGCCTCTTGCATGTGGGAAAAGGTGGTTCTTACTTGAGGAGTGAGCCAGAAAGACAGGCCATTCATTTGTGTGTCACAGTTGGCAGATGAGGTAGGCATGGGGGAAACTGATACCCTAAGGTGCAGGCATAGGTGATGGGGAGAGTTAGAACGTTGAAGTTGGCCTAGTCCCACCAAGTGACCAACGTTGCCAGAAAACTGCTTCCATGAGTTGGAAAAGAAGGTGGTACCAATCATTTGGAGGCAGGCTGGGTTCCCGAATATAAGGTACCAGAGTAGGAGAGAAAGAAAAAAGAGCTAGAGTTGCTATTGTGTTTTCTTCCAGTTTTTACATCTGTCTTCATCATATGTTTCTTTACTGCTTAATTTCTCTGAAAGAATCAGAGTAGGGCCGGCTCCGTGGCTTAGCGGTTGAGTGCGCGCGCTCTGATGCTGGCGGCCCGGGTTCGGATCCCGGGCGCGCCCCAGGGCACCGCTTCTCCGTCCAGCCCGAGGCCGAGTCCCACGTACAGCAGCTGGAAGGATGCGAGCCTATGACATACAGCTATCTGCTGGGGCTTTGGGGGGAAAAAAATGAATAAATAAAAATCTTTAAAAAAAAAAAAAAAAGAATCAGAGTAAGACTTTTTTTTTAGATCAGAGTGAGGGAAATACATTCTTTATCTTAAATAAGGTGCCAGCAACCTTGGCTAAAAGCTATTATTCTTACACAATTTTGCAAAGCAAGTATTGTATTTTCTTACCTTTTCAAACAGACGCATAATATAAAGATTATTTTAGACATACACAAGCCTACAAAGGAAGCATGTGTTTGGCTGGCAGTCTAAAAATACCTCCAGTGTTGAAATATAAAAATATGCACTTATTCATTTCTGTTACTCCATCACCCTCAGAAAATGTGTCCATTTAATAATATTTCCACTGGATAAAATAGGTTTAAAATGTAAACAATTTCTTTATGATTCATTAGTAGTTCTATGTTCAAGTCCTTGGCTTTGTGTCCCCTTGGACAAGTTCTTGAACTCTAAACCTTGGTTTTCTCAACTGTAAAATGAGGAAAATATATCCACCTCCAGTGAGAGTGTTAAGAGAATGTGTAAGTAAAAACATTTTATAAATAGTAAAATAAATTTAAATGTGAAGTAGTTTATTTCACAAAGACACTAAAGCAACCCAATGGGGAAAGGAAAGTCTTTTCAATAGATAATGCTATAACAACTTGATGTCTATATGGGAAAAAAACGAGCCTTTGACCCTGATCTCACACCATACATAAAAATTGGAGCTGGGTCATGGCCATAACATAAAAGCTAAAACTTAAACTTCTAGAAGAAAACATAGGAGAATATTTCACAGCTTTGGGGTAGGCAAAAGTTTCTTGGAGAGGACATTGAAAGCACTAACCAAAAAAGAAAAAATATTGATAAGTTGAACTAAAAAAAAATTTTAACTTTTTGTTCTTCGACACCATTAAGAATAAACAGGCCACAGGCCAGGATAAAATATTCTTAATGCATATGTCTGACAAAGAACTTATATCCAGAATGTATTAAAAACTTTCACAACTCAATAATAAAAAGACAAACAGATGACCTTAGAAAATATATGAATGGCCAGTAAGCACATGATGAAGTATTCAACATCATTAGTCATGAGAGAAATGAATGTTAAAACCTCAATGAGATGCTACTGCACTAGAATGACTAAAATTAAAATGACAACACCAAATGTTGGAGAGGATGTGAAGCAACGTTGCTAGTGGAAGTGTAAAATGGAACAACCATTTTGGAACAAGGCCTGGAAGTCTCTTATAAAATTAAACACACCTATTCTTTGATCCAGCCATTCCTTTCCTGGTATTTATCCAAGAGAAATGAAAGAATATATCCACAAAAAGACTTGTATTCAACTATTTATAGTGGTTTTATTCATTGTTTACAAAAGCTGGAAACAGAGTAGTTTTCCATCAGCAGGAGAATAAAAACTGTGGTATATTCAAACAATGGAATAATACTCAGCAAAAGAAGGAAGTTAACTACTGATGAAACAACATGAATCAATCTCAGAAACATTTTACTGAGTGAAAGAAGCCAGGTACGAAAGAGTGCAAACTAAGATTCCATATATATGAAGTTCTAGAGCAGGCAAAACCAACCCATAGTGAAAAAAGTAAGAAAAAGTTGGCTTTGTGGGAGAGGGGAGAAGTGGAAACTGGGAAGGGAAATGAGGGAACTTTCTAAGCTGACAGTGATGCTTCATGTCATTAATAAGGGTTACACAGGTGTATGCATTTGTCAAAACTCAGGGAATATGCCACTTAAGTTGTGTGATTTTTTAATCTCATACACATGCAAAAAAAGAACCCTAAGCAAATATCAGACTGTAAGTAATGATACGCATATTGATAGAGATGAAGTGTATTGATGTCTTCAACTTAACAGTGAAGTGCATCAAAAAATAAGATGAATGGAAAGAGGGATGGAAATATGAGTAGATAAGTGATAAGGCAAATATAACAAAATATTTTTTTTTAAGATTTTATTTATTTTCCCCCCCAAAGCCCCAGTAGATAGTTGTATGTCATAGCTGCACATCCTTCCAGTTGCTGTACGTGGGACACGGCTTCAGCATGGCCGGACAAGCGGTGCGTCGGTGCGCGCCCAGGATCCGAACCCGGGCCACCAGCAGCGGAGCGCGCGCACTTAACCGCTAAGCCACAGGGCCGGCCCAAATATAACAAAATATTAATTGCAGAATCTAGGTAGTAAATAGATGGATGTTTGCTCTATAATACTTGTCAACATTTCTGTATGGTTGAAATTTTTCCTAATGCTGGGAAAAATATAAAGTACTTAGGAAAACCCATTAAACTTGAATGATTGCAGCATCGCATGAAGAAGATAAAACTGCACGTTAATACAAAACCAAACATTATTTACTTCAAAATGTAATTTTTAACATGAATTACATGACAAAATGAGCCAGTCTTTGGCTGCTGCATGGTTTCTTGGGGCTACACAATCTCCAAGCTCCTCTTGTGAGTATGGAACACCCTCTCTTCATCCCCCAACCCAGCTGGTAATTGGAATATTCATGAAGCACCCCTGCAAACACCACCAGACCTCTCCCCACCCAGACTCCTGTAACGTCTGCAATCTGCTTCCACCTCCTCTGAAGCATCCCTTCTCCTGATTAGAAAATTCCTAATTGTCAAATCCAACGGCCAATTTTCAGTCCTTACCCTACCTCCTCTTTTCTCAGCATCTGACTTGGAGGACCACACTCGCTTGAAACTTCTTTTCCCTTCACTTTTACACAACCACTTCTTCCTCATTATCTTACTCCTTTACAGCCTCTTCTTAGTCTGCTTTAGGAACAGCTCCTCTGTCCTTCTCTTCAGTGTTAAGGAGCCTCCACCCTCACAAGCCTTTTGTAACTCTGTAAGTTCCTCCTAGGTGACCAGTTTGACTCCCACGAATTCATCTGTCACCTAATTACTCTCGAAATCTCTGTTTCTAACCTGATCCCCTCCTGAGCTTTAAGCTTGAAACCTACAGGCCAGCCCCTTGGAATACTCTGCAGACACATTGATTGTCAAAACAGAACTCACCATCTCTTGAACATCCCAACCCATTCTAGTCTTCCTACTTTCTCTCTCTCCATTAATAGAAATAATTGTTCCTGACTTTCTCCCTTCCTCACCCACATATCTAATTGATCACCAAGTTCTATCAGTTCTACCTCTCTTAAATTGCTTCCTCACCTCTTCATCCCCTCAGGTGTAATTTAGATCATCATGTCTAATTAATTTCCCCTACTTTGGTTCTTCCCCTTCATTAGTCAGTCCCCTTCACTGTGGAGGATGCCATGCTAAAGCAGAAACACAATCACATTCTCTGGTCTGTTGTAATTCCTTGACCCTCCACCCTTAACCACTTTAACAGCCTTCCTACGGCCATCCCTGCTCATAACCCTTCACTCCAGCCCAAACATACATTATAAATGTGCTCATGCCTCTATCTGGATTACTGTTTTCCTTCTACAACTACTCATGTTTAAAGATCTAGTTCAAAAGTGGGGTCCTTTAAAAAGTTTTCTCTAAACCTCCCAGGCAATTAGTTGCTGCTCCATCCTTTTTTCTCTCCAAGTACATTGCATATTTCCGTATTATAGTCTGTACAATCATGGTGTATCATATAATTGTTTATTAATGTATATGTCTTCTAAGGTTGGACTATCCATTGCCACATAGTGGATGCTGAATAAATGTTCAGTGAAGGCCTTTTTCACTTCTCCACATCTCTGCAGTGAGTTAGAGACTTAGGAATGGCAGGTCACCAAGGATTTTAGCTGCCAGAACAGCTATAATTGTTCATATTATCTAGTTATACTTCTGCTCACATTCTCCATACTGGACCTCTTCCTTCTTCCTTATTCTGCTCCATTTGTAGAAGTCTGTCCCCTAAGTGGGCAAGAGAAAAGGGCACCCAGATGGCCACAACTGGATCACCTTCTCTCCCCCTCCCCAGTCACATAATCTACATGCACATAAATGAAATGTGATCATGTGGTATGATGTAAGCATTTATCCTTTGTGACTTTGTTCCTTTCTCAACTAAGAAAAAGCTGTAGTGTAGGGGACCTGGAATTTGAGCAGTGGGCTCCAGTCTAATCCCTGCACTAGGAAAATGATACCACCACTCTGAGCTTCAGTTTCTCCTCTTTAAAATGACGTGGTGAGAGACATTTGTAAAGACCTAGCACAATGTATAAATATGTAGCACTCATTCATTCATTCATTCATTCAACAAACATTCACTGACTGCTTACTAAATATCAAGTAATGTGCTAGGTGCAGGTATATAGCACTCAATAAAAATGTGAGTTTGTTTTCTTGCAAGCCTGTTTTGGAACTTTCTTATGCTCTTAATATTCTGTATAGTGCTGTTTCCTCCCCACGCTGTTCTCCCTTGGCCAAAATAAGTTTTCTCTGAATTCTTCCTTTAAGGTCTGCTAAGTAGCGTAGAGTGGTGGTTAACAGCATGGGCTTTAAATCCAGACTTTCAATTTGAATCCTGCCACTTTTTAGCTGTGAAACATTGGGTAAGTTGCTTAACTTCTTGGTGTTTCTGCCTCTTTAAAGCACAACAATATCTACCCATTAGGTTGTTGTAAAGAATAAAATTGTTAATACATGTAAGTCTTAAAATGTTATCTGGAGTTAAGTAAAGTGCTTAAGAAGTGGTGGCTATTATTATTTGCTACCTACGGTTCATAGGTTACTTACCATGCCGTGAAAATCAACTCTGGTCCAGGTACAAGAGAGCAATTAGATTAGAGTCTTCATTTATCATCTATGTTTCTTTAAATAATTTTGCTTGGAAACTTTCTTATAGACCTGCACTGTCCAGTATAATAGCTTCTAGACCCATGTGGCTAACTGGAAGAGTAGTGCTGCAAGTATAAAGTAAACCAGATTTTAAAGACTTAGAACAGAGACATGAGTGAAAATGACAGAGTCAAGAATGCCAAAAGTCTGTCACTCTATAAAAGCAACTCAAAAACTGTCAGAATCAACTTTTTCAGAACTCTGGACAATAATTAAAAACTTGAAGCAACTTGAGGATCACTTTTTTAAGAATAATGGCTACATCTTGGTAAGAACAGTGAGCTTTGTGACATTTTAACTTGCCCTAGTCTCATCCCCGTCAACTCAAAGGAATGCAAGAAACAAGAAAGTAGGGCTCATACCCAGAGAAAAAAGCAAGCAATATAAAACTGTCCCTGGGAAGCCTAGACATTGGACTTACTGGACAAGACTTTAAGTTTTTTTGTTTTTTGTTTTGAGGGAGGTTGGCCCTGAGTTAACATCTGTTGCCAATCTTCCTCTTTTTGTTTTTTTTTCTCCCCAAAGCTCCAGTACATAGTTGTATATCCTGGTTGTAGGTCCTTCTAGTTGTTCTACGTGGGATGCTGCCTCAGCATGGCTTGATGAATGGTGAATAAGTCTGCACCCAGGATCCGAACTGGCAAACCCTGGGCCGCCAAGGCAGAACGCACGAACTTAACTGCTATGCCACTGTGCCGGCCCCACTGGACAAGACTTTAAATCAGCCATTTTGAGTATGTTCAAATAGCTAAAAGAAAATACGTCTAAAGAACTAAAAGAAAGCATGATATCTCACCAAATAGAGATTATCAATAAGGAGATAGAAAATATAAAAAGGAACCGAATAGATACTCTGGAATTGAAAATTACAATAACTCAAATGGAAAATACACAAGAGGGGCTCAACAGCAGAGTTGAACAGGCAGAAGAAAGAACCAGAGCCCTTGAAGGCAGGTCAATTGAGATGATCTAATCTGAGGAACAGAGAGAACAAGAATGAAGATGAACAGTGCCTAAGAGACCTAAGGGACACCGTCAAGTGTACCAACATATGCGTAATAGGAATCCCAGAAGATGAGAAGAGAAAGAAAGACTATGTGAAGAAATAATGGCTGAAAACTCCCCAGATTTGATGACAAACATTAATCTACACATCCAATAAAATCAATAAACTTCAAGTAGGATAAACTCAAAGAGATTCACATAAAAACGTACAAGGAATCCTCAAACAAGATTAACAGCCAATTTCTCATCAGGAAAGACCTGAACAGACACCTCACCATAGAAGTTATACAAATGAAAAATAACTATAGGAAAAGATGTTCAACAACATATGTCACTAGGGAATTGCAAATTAAAATAACAGCTTCACATCTATCACAAAGGCCAGAACCCAGAACACTGACAACATGAAATGCTGATGAGAATGTGAAGCAACAGAAACTTGCATTCCTTGCTGGTGGGAATACAAAATGATACAGTCACTTTGGAAAACAGTTTGACAGTTTCTTAGGAAACTAAACATACTCTTATCATATGATCCAGCAATTATGCTCCTTGCTATTCACCTAAAGGAGTTGAAAACTTACGTCCACATGAAACCTTATACACAGATGTTTAAAGCAGCTGTATTCATAATTGACAAAACTTGGAAGCAACCAAGACGTCTTCAACAGAGGAATAGATAAATAAACTGTGGTGTAACCAGATAATGGAATATTATTCAGCGTTAAAAAGAAATGAGCTATCAAGCATTGAAAAGACATGATAAAACCTTAAATGCATATTACTAAGTGAAAAAAGCCAATATGAAAGGCTATGTACTGTATGATTCCAACTATCTGACATTTTGGAAAAGGAAAAACTACGGAGACAGTAGAAAGATCTGTGTTTGCCAGAGGCCGGGGTGGCAGGGAATGAATAAGCAGAGCACAGAGGAATTTTAGGGCAGTGAAACTATTCTGTATGATACTGTAAAAATGGATACATGTCATTATACATTTGTCCAAACCCATAGAATGTACAACACCAAGAGTGATTCCTAACATAAACTGTGAACTTCGGGTGATTGAACCTACATTGAACCGCTCAATGTAGGTTCATCAATTGTAACAAATGTACCACTCTGGTGTAGGATGTTAATAGTGGAGGAGACTGTATGGAGGGGAGGCAAGGAGTGTATGGTAATTCCTTGTACTTTCTATTTAATTTTGCTGTGAACTTAAAACTACTCTAAAACATAAAGTCTATTAAAAATTAAAAACTATGGGATGACATTCAAAGTGATGACAGAAAAAAAAAATATTAACCAAGAATCCAGCAAAAATATCCTTCAAAAGTGAATGTGAAAGTGGGGCCGGCCTGGTGGTGCAAGCGGTTAAGCGCACGCACTTGGCTACGGTGGCCCAGGGTTGACTGGTTCGGATCCCGGGCGCATACCGACGCACGGCTTGTCAAGCCATGCTGTGGCGGCGTCCCTTATAAAGTGGAGGAAGATGGGCATGGATATTAGCCCAGGGCCAGTCTTCCTCAGCAAAAAAAAAAAAAAAAGAGGAAGATTGGCAGATGTTAGCTCAGGGCCGATCTTCCTCACAAAAAAAAAAAAAGTGAATGTGAAAGTGAGACATTCCCAGATAAACAAAAGCTGAGAGTATTCATTGCTGGCCAACCTGCCCTGGAAGATACACTAAACGGTGTCCTTCAGGCTGAAATGAAAGGACAGTAGACAGTAACTTGAATCCATAGAAAGAACACTGGTAAGGGTAACTACATAGTAAATATAAAAGACTACACAGATAAATATTTTTTAAATAATGTATTTTTATTGTAACTCTTCTTTTGTCCTATCTTATTTAAAAGAAAACTGCATAAAGCAATAATTATATGTGATGGATATACAATGTATAAAGATATAATTTGTAACAATAACAATGTAAAGGGGAAGATGAGGCAATAGAGAAGCAAAGATTTTGTATACTGTGGAAGCTAAATTGGTAATAATCTGATCACAGAGACAGAAAGTAGATTAGTGGTTGCTGGTGACTGGGAGCATGGGAGGAATGGGGACTGACTGCTAATGGTTATGGAATTTCTTTTTGGAGTGATGAAAATATTCTGGAACTAGATAGCGGTAGTGGTTGCACAACCTGAATGTATTAAAAACCACTGAATTGTACACATTAAAAGATGAATTTTATGATATATGAATTGTATCTCAATAAAAATTACTTTGAAACAAACAAAAAGATAACATTAATCACCCTATGTATATTAAAGAAATTGAATTTGCAGTTGAACAATCTTCCCACAAAGAAAACTCCAGGCCTCTATGGTTTTACTAATGAATTCTACCAAACATTTAAAGATGAAAAAATACCATTCTACATATAATGTCTTCCAAAAAACATTGAAGACAATGGAATTCTTCCCAATTCATTCTATGAGGCCAGTGCCAAAAGCAGATCAAGGCATTAGAAGAAAATAACAAACCAATATCTCACATGAACATTGATCAAAAATTTTAAAAAAATTTTTTTTCAGCAAATCGAATCCAACAATATATTAAAAGGTTACTACATCATGATCAAATGGGGTTTACCCCAGGAATATAGGGTTGGTTTAACATTCAAAATCAATCAATGTAATTCACCATATTAATAAACTAAAAAAGAAAACAATATGATCATCTTAATAGACACAGAAAAAGCATTTGACAAAATCTGATATCCATTCCTGATAAAAACTCTCGGTAAACTTGAAATAGAAAGGAAACATGAAAAAGTGAATCTACAAAAACCCTGCAGCTAGCATGATACTTAACGGCGAAAAACTGAATAGTTTCTCCCTAAGATCAGGAACAAGACAAAGATATCTGCTCTTTCCGTTTCTATTCAACATTGTACTGGGGGTCTGGCCACTGTTGCCAAGCAAGAAAAAGGAAAAAAAAGCAGTCAGATTGGAGAAGTAAAACTGTCTCTATTCGCAGATAACACAATTTTCTATGTAGAAATCCAATGAAATCTAGAAAAAAGCAACTAGAACTAATAAGTGAGTTTAGCAAGTTTGAAGGACACAAGATAAACATACAAAAATTAATTGTATTTCTATATTCTAACGGTAAAAATATTAGAAATTAAAATTAATAAAATGTCATTTATAAAAGCATAAAAAATATTAAATACTTGGGGATAAATCTGACAAAATATGTGAAAGTCCTTTACATTGGAAACTAGAAAACACTGTTGAGAGAAATTAAAGACCTAAATAAATAGATATATCTTCATTGGTCAGAAGACAACAATATTAAGATATCAACTGTCCCCAAAGTGATCTATAGATGCTATGCAATCACAATAAAAATTCCAACAGGCTTTTTTGTGAAAACAGACAAGCTGATTCTAAAATTCATATGAAAGGGCACAGGACTTAGAACAGGCAAAACAACTTGGAAAAAGAAGAGCAGTCAGAGGGTTTACACTACCTGATCAGCTCAAGGCATATTATAAAGCCACAGTAATCAAAACAGTGTGGCATTGGCATAAAGATAGACAAATCGATAAGTAGAACAGAATATAGGGTCCAGAAATAGAACCACATATATACGGACAAGTGATTCTTTAACAGCTTTATGAGATATAATTTACAAACCATACTATTCACTCATTTAAAATGTACAATTCAATGTTTTTTAGTAAGTTCACTGGGTTGTGCAACAATCACCACAATCTATAGAACAGTTTTGTCCACTCAAAAAGAAACCCTGTACTTATTAGCAGTCACTCCCATTTCCCCACTACCCGCCGCCTCAGCCCTAAGCAACCACTAATCTACTTTCTGTCTGTACAGATTTGCTTATTCTAGACATTTTGTATAAACAGAATCATAGAATATTTGGTCTTCTGTGATTGGCTTCTTTCACTTAACATAATTTTTTCAAGGTTCATCTATATTGTAGCATGCATAAGTATTCCACTCCTTTCAATTGCCAAATAATATTACATTGTAAAGATAAACAAAGGACACTTTATTCATTCATCAGTTGATGGAACTGGGGTTGTTCCCACTTTTTGGCTACTGTGAATAATGCTGCTATAGGCCGGCCCTGTGGCTTGGTGGTTAAGTGCGCGCGCTGCGATGCTGGTGGCCCGGGTTCGGATCCCGGGTGCGCATCGAGGCACCACTTCTCCGTTCATCCTGAGGCCGAGTCCCACATACAGCAACTAGAAGGATGTGCAGCTACGACACACAACTATCTACTGGGGCTTTGGGGGGAAAAAATAAAATAAATAAAATCTTTAAAAAAAAAAATAATGCTGCTATGGACATTTGTGCAAAAATTTTTGTGTGGACATGTTTTAATTTCTCTTGGCTAGATATGTAGTTGTAGAATTGTTGGATCACATAAACTCTATGTTTTCCTTTTTAAGGAACTGCAAACTATTTTCCAAAACAACCGCAAAATTTTATATTCCTGCCAGAAGTGTATTAGAGTTGCAATTTCTCCACATCCTTGCCAACACTTGTTATTGCTTGTCTTTTTGATTATAGCCGTCCTAATGAATGTGAAGTGGTATCTTCTTATGGTTTTTTTTATTGTGGTAAAATACATATAACATAAAATATTCTCTTTTAACCATTTTAAGTATATAATTTAGTGGCATTAATTACATTCACATTGTTGCGCAACCACCACCACCACTGTCTCTCTCCAAAACTTTTCCATCACCCCAAGCAGAAACTTTGTACCCAATAAGCAATAACTCCCCGTCCCCTTTGCTACCAGCTCCTGGTAACCTCTAATCTACTTTCTGTTGCCATTAATTTGCCTATTCTAGATATTCCGTATAAGTGGAATCATACAATATTTGTCTTTTTGTCTCTGGCTTATTTCACTTAGCATAATGTTTTCAGAATTTATCCATGGTATAGCATGTATCAGAACATTATTCCTTTTTCTGGCTGAATACTATTCCACTGCATGTATATACCACATTTTGTTTATCCATTTATCTGTTGATGGACGCTTGAATTATTTCTGCCTTTTGGCTGTTGTGAATAATGCTACAATGATCATTGTCATACAAGTATCTTGTCATACAAATTTGAGTACTTGTTTTCAATACTTTTGGGTATATACTTAGGAGTGGAATTGCAGGGTCATCTGGTAATTGTAATTTTAACTCTTTGAGAAACCACCATACTGTTTTCCACAGTGGAAGAACCATTTTTACATTCCTGCCAGCGATGTACAAGATTTACAGTCTCTCTACATCCTAATCAACTTTTGTTACTTTCTGGGTTTTGTTGTTTTGGTTTTGTTTCATTGTAATATTATAGCCATCCTAGTAGGTGTGAAATGGAATCTCATTGTGGTTTTGATTTCCATTTCCCTAATGACTAATAATGTTGACCATCTTTTCATGTGCTATCAGGCATTTATATGTATTCTTTGGATGAATGTATTTCCAAATCCTTAGCTCATTTTTAATGGGGTTATTTGTTTTTGTGAAAGTTGAAAGTGTTTTTTACATATTCTGAATGGAATTCCTTTATCGGATATATGATCTACAAATATTTTCTCCTATTCTGTAGGCTGTCCTTTCACTTTCTTGATGGTATCATTTGCAGCACAAAAGATTTTAATTTTGATGTAGCTCAGTTTATCTATTTTTTTTCTTCTGTCACTTGTGCTTTTGGTATCATGTCTAAGATACCATTGCCTAGCCCAAGGTGACAAATATTTATTTCTTCATTTTCTTCTAAATCTTTTATAGTTTTAGCTCTTACATTTAGGTTTATGAGTTATTTTAAGATAATTTTTGTGTATAGTGTGAGGTAGAGGCCCAAATTCCTTCTTTTGTATCTGAATATCCATTTGTTCCAGCACAATTCTCTCCTGAGTGAATTGTCTTGGCACTCTTTTTTTTTTAAAGATTTTATTTATTTTATTTTTCCCAAAGCCCCAGTGGATAGTTGTGCGTCGTAGCTGCACATCCTTCTAGTTGTTGTATGTGGGACTCGGCCTCAGGATGAACGGAGAAGTGGTGCCTCGATGCGCACCC